AACTTACATCGTTCAACTGCTCTAAAAATCACAATAAACGGCACCGAAGAAGGGATCATTGTGTGGAGAGATAAGAGGGGGCTTGATTTGTCTGGATGGATTACAGAGAGGATAAGATACTAACCATACTGTGGAGGTCATTCCATGTATGAACGACTGTCTGACCAGATGAGAAACTCAACCAGTGAAGTCGAAGTTCCCCCTCCCCTGCGTTATTCCGATTCCAACAGCCCCATTTATTCATCTCACTTCAAAACCATTCCGTAACAAAACGCACAACTCCTCTCCTTCCTTAGCCCTCTATTAATCGGAATTCATTGCTCACAAATCCTCAGATGGGCCGTCTCGTCAAATGCAACCTTTTCTTCCACTTACTTACTTCAACAGCCAAAGTTTCTTTCGAATAACTATGTCGCTGCAACAATTCTCTACCCTTCTCAATATGCATTTCATAACAAAGAAGTCCATTCAATTCAACGAATGTCTGAACTGCAGTGAAAACAAATTATCCAATTTACCAAAGAGCTATTTACGACAATGATAACGAAAGGGAGTACAATGTGACAGCAATTACCGATTAATGGTGCAGTCTTTCTAATAGAATGGCCAATCATTAAGTTTTTAGCAATTACTCACAGAAATAATTTCTCGACACCATAGGCCTTTTCAGAAGTGCAGATCAGATGTTTCGAATCATTAATCGTCTTCAAATCGTGCATATAATTGTTTTTAACTTCATGAATTGCAAGGCCATGCATTAACAACGTTCATTTCAAATTCTCATACAGTGATGACATTTCTATTAAAGACGATTACTACTCCAAATACTTTCAACAAACTTGATTTTTGATAGAAGCAATTTGTTATCAATACTCTTCTGAGATTTTTTTAATGCCAGTTGAATAAAAATTTGGAGCCCCTCCGCAAAAAATTTATGTTGCGGTGAACTGACCACATTCTGAAACATATCCATCAGCGTCTGCTGCGTACTTCGAACCAGCACGGCAGATAAAATGTTTTGCACAAACTGAGTTGTTATTTTATCAATTGAACCAAATTCAATTACCTGAAGCAAATATCAATATCTGAATTTATTTCTCCATTTCCTAAGTTTCACTATCATCAAAAATAGAATTATGCAACAGATTATTTCTTTTGGAAAGCCTATAGTTTGCTCACACATTTCAAGCATCCATTGGTTCCATCAACATAATCTTGCCAAACAAATTTCAGTTGTTGATAAATACCCTTCAGACTTTTAAAATGGTCATCTTTCGTACCAATACAACAGGTCGTTAAGAACAATAATTAAATATTTTGAATTATATTTCAAAATCCATAATATATAGTTCCATGTAGTTTGTTATCAACCTTTTATCTCAGACAGATGATTACGGATTTTAAAACTTATCTCACCTATTATCTCTGCTTCATCTTTAATATTGCGCCACTTTTTTAAGTTTCTCAAAAAAGTTAGGAAAATATACATATGTGTGTAAATTTATCTCTACAAGATTTTGATTAGGGACAGTATGTGAAGATCACTCAAAAAAGCACCCAGCTATTGAGTTACCTTTAGTAAAGTGATTCCAACTGATCGTTTAATCAATAGATCAATGGTAAGCAGCGCTAAATTTTCACGCTGCAATTCATTTATCTGTGACAAAACTTTGATCCGGTCCCATAATGCGTACTGTGTAGTGAGCTAAAATAAACTTCTGTCAACTCCAATCTGTGGATGACACTTTTGGAATTCAAATCTTAAACATAAGAATTTTCAGCTCATCTTAAATTTTAAATTCAATATATTTTGTTATAAAACTTTTTTCTTTTACGCAAACGAAATAGAAAGAAAATTCAGTGCAAGAACTGCCATTAGAGCAAAGCATTTTGTAGTGCATTAAAAAATTTTAAAAATATATAACTTCTACATCAACACATCACAAATTTATAAAAGTCTAAAAATTTTCCCATTACTATGAACTAAATTCTTTACATCAGCTAGTCCTTTATAACTGAATACAACTTTGAATAGGAAATGCTTCGAATTGCAATAGCTACTTCACTTTTTTTCAGAAAAAGATTTAGCACGCAAAGAACGTATCGTCTTGGATCCATTAGAATAAAAGAATACCGAGTATTCAAAAAATACCTTAAAACGTTTATGGTAACAACATAAGCGTTCGATAACAGCAGCATAAAATGCATTATAAATAGCTTCTCGCAGCGCACAATGAACACAGATATGCACTATTTCCCTTTCTTGTTGTCCTTTGAAGGAAAGTCTCAATAATCTTTCAAATGCATCCACTTCATCCTAAAGTTGGAACAGTTTATAATGAATCTGGAATAATTTGAATAAGAGAAAAATTAAAGATTAAATTTGCAATGCATCAGAAAGTAGTAAGAATTTAAGATGACAAGTCATTCAATCAATAGTTGATTACTGTCGAAGACATGATGGTGCAAAAAATGTCACGTCTGATTGCTGTGTTCATTTTAGTCTTTTTCGCAAGCTGCAGTAAAGGTGCACTGAATTTCAAGGTTTGTTCAACAAATTTGTCATTAGTTCGGTTTTGCGGCACTGATGTAGTTGGAGACCACGCTGAACCAACAAGCCACCAACGTCCACGTTCGCTTATGTGCATTATATCATCCACACTCATCAGCAGCTCTTTCTCTTTGTCCATCTCTGCAATGAGAAATGACTTATATTTGAAGACTTAATAGCTTTCAAAACTAAAAAGTTAAATAATTTGAGCAATCAAACTCGTGGAACGAGTATAGTTTTTCCACTGTTTCAATTCCAGCTTTCACATCAGAAATTCTGTCTAATCTCACATCTCGCTTACCTCAATGCTCTAATTGAATACTGTTATATATATATATATAGTTGATTGCTACTAGTAATTACAAACTATCAGTAAATACCCGACGAATCAATAAGGATAAAATAAAGTACAATAAGTAGAAGTTCCAAGTGCGTGACAACGAATTTCTGATTCAACAACTTAAAATCTTAGCGATAAATATGGATAAATAATAACATACTTTTCGTTAATCCACGGAAAATATTAACGTAATGAGAGTGCATTGTAGAATCTATTATATCCGTAAATTTACGAACATTCACATTCTTTATTGCATTGATCTCATCCACGATGTACCGCAGCTGATGTCTTGAACAGATGAAGACTTCAGTTAATAACACAAGCTTTAAGATAAAGTAAAATTCATGACTCTCATGAGTATATGATTTTTAGATCCCTCATGATTAAAATATCTACTTGTTTTACTTCTATCTGTTAAAACGTCTATTAAGACCATGTGAAATATATATGAAGCTTTTCCCACTCCAAATAATAAGTACTTGCATTCTGCAAGATGTTTCTGGAAGTTGTGAGAAGAATGACTGCGTTTCTGTTATGGATTTTTGCAACGCATCCAAATCCCTGCTCCTCATAGTGTTGCCACAATCTATGGTAAAAGACAGTAAAAAATCAAGACAACAATATCTAACGTTTTAGCACAAAAACGGTACTAAACGTAAACTGATAACAATAAAGCCTGGAAATCGAGACTGAAGTAAATATACAATATGTATTTATTCATGTAATCATAAACAATACGATAGCAACACTGAATCGATCACCACGAAAATTTGAAGAAATCTTCACATAAAAAATTTTGATTATTTTTGAAAATGTAAGAAAACTTACAACCTAAAAGAGCTTTGAAACAAGTAAGACATTTATCGTTGACCTGTTCACGCAAACGTTGCATAATTTCGGTAATCATGATAACTTTGATAACCTGCAATAATGATCAGATTTTTATGTCATCAGAATGTTAGCAATTTACATCCTTAAATCACAGCACTTTGCTCATTATCACAGCAACAATTTTAGGAAGCAAGTATCTTAGCTGTTATAAACTGTATAATTATAATTCTGTCCCTAGACTGCAAAGATATATTCTATTTCAGTAAAGTACATCTTTTAAATAATTCAAATTTCAGATAAAATATAGCAAAAAACTATAAAGACAAACATTTCATGTGATAATAAAATATACCTTGAAATTATATAGCTCGGCGAGTAAAACACAGAGATTTTCAAGGGATTTACCTTCTGGCAATGCGACAACTGTTTCCAAAAGTTTTACAATGAAATTCTCGACAAAATATGCCGCTGAAAGAATGTTTTGGAAATCAGAACAAAGCAACAATTGGAGTCATCTGAAGCTATTTCAAAATTGTTTAAAGCTACTTAAAAAGGGTTTAATTAAAGTCACTGAAATTAAAAACCTCAAAATGGAAAAGGTTCCATTCTTTACTTCAGTTTAAATGATAAAGTTTTCTTTACAAAGAATCTCAGGGATACCAAACACCGCACTTAATCGGTAAAATTGTTATAAATAAAAGCTTACAAACTTCCGCAGAAACCGTTGTATGAATAAGAGCAATAAATACTGCATATTCAATGATGAGTCGATCCGGCAAGCGATAACTTACGTCGATACTTCTTGTAATTTCGGAAAAAAGCAATTGTTTCACTTCTGCAATTATGAATATATAATTTATTTGGTGTGAAAAGCTCCATACCAAATAAATTTAGAATGAATGAAAAAAAAGAAATAAAAACTAATTTAGAGCAATCAAATTTTACCATTATGTCCTCTGCTGGCAAATATATCGGAGAATACTTTCACAGCACTCAGCAAAGTACGTTCGTTTAATCGATTGACCAGACCTCTCAAAGATTTTTTCAATTTTAAATGCTCTTCGGTTTCTAGCAAGCCGGCTTTCTGTTTTAATTCACTGAGCTTCTCTTTAGCACACAATTTTGAAGGCAAAAATTCTCCTGTCTTCTTATTAATTAGGCGACCATAAATATCTTCTTCCATATCCACATTTTCTTCACCCTTGTTGCTCTCACTCATTTTAGTAAAGCCATCTCTTTGAACCTAAAATTCGAGAATCAATCAATTATGATGCCAAAAAAGAATGTATTAGAATCATAATCATTCATCACTTAGCCAAAACACTAACTTTTGGAGATGTTGGAAAGGTTTTTTTCGGAATATGAATTGCCAAAGCACTATTTTCATTCTTATTTTCACTGCCATCTTCCTCTCCCTCATCGCCCAACATTTCGCCGTTATACATGTCAAGACTACTGTCTCTATCATCACTGCTACGTTGCAATGGCTTCGAATCACACATCTCAAGGAGATCTGTAACAATTAACTACGTTGATTGTGCCTAATTTGAACTGTAAAAGCTGGGCTCTCATCAGCTTTTTAATTAGAAATTAATCTTAAATCAAATTAAATTCCAAAAGACAAAGTAGAAGTGAAGGAGGTTATATCCGTGAATACAGTAAAACACGCACAATCGAGCCCTTCGATGCGGAATACTTTCGGCATTTTTTTGCTTTTCCGCTTACTGTAACCAAGAATTCGTTCATAGCGATAGATTTCCATATCATCCTTATCAATGCCTCGTATAAGTTCTTTTCGTAGCTGCTGCACCTGAACGAAAAAAAATAATTGAAAATTTCCAAATACCATCGTAAAGAAAAAGGCAAACGTGAGCCATAGCAATGCAATCGGTAATCATAGTCGAACAATTAAATTGGTTATAATATATGATAAAATCGGACATAAGAAATATGAAATGAACCGCATATAATCACGTTGAATGGCATTATTAACCAACACTTGCACATAATATATTATATTTAATCCCCAATTTAAGGAACATAATTTATTTACTCAAATGTCTAATTAAATTTGGTTTTGTATTATCAGCACAAAAATACTCACACTTTTCTTTCTACGTTTTTTAGTACGCTTTTTCTTGGTCTGTACCATTTCAAGAATGTCTTCTTTCTGGCAATCCATGGGATTTTTTTCTCTCATGATAATATCTTCAACCTGGAACAAGTTATTAAAAGAAAAAAGATTTATAATGATTGCAAATATCGTCAAATAGATGAAAGAAAAGGTCAAAGAAACAAAAAAAAATCAACATCAAAGTACACAAAAAAGTCTGACCTTTCTGTGGGAATTATATGCAATTTGGCGAAATTTTTTGCTTTCTTTTTTGCTCTTTCTTATCATTTTCCGTTTACATTCAGACGATACGTGATCACCGACAGCCATCACATTCCGAATTTCCTTAACGAGGAAATGCTGAAAAATCTTAACAGTGTTTGTTTGTTTGGTGAGTTTATCAAGAACAGGTAACGGGAGGTCAAAAGGATCTGTACAGATGATTCTTATTCCATGAATCCTTTCCTTTTTATTGACCCTAAAAACACAGCCACACACGAATCAGTAGTGAGGCTGAGGAGAGCTAACACAAGCAGCAAAGCAAAGAAAGAAATCAGAAGCCAACCGAAAACAGAGTAGCTCCAGCAAGGAACCAAGTGCCACTGGACCGGCCTTGCAGCAATTACGTGGCGGAAGTGCGTGAGACAGAAGGACCGGAAAGGCGCTCAAAGCTACCGACATGGATCTTTTCTTGTTCGCACCTGTCGGGAAATCCGAAAACGTGTGATATTAAATTATT